AGGCAGATCCCCGAGGGCCCGTTACCTGGGGAGAGACCAGCACAGCCAGATAGGGCGGAGGGTTTTAAATAACCCTGCCCCCCCCCCCCCAGTGGCTTTGTGTCTGCATATTTCATGTCCAACTGAGTAGGGTTGTCACGATACTAAAATGTTCAACTCGATACCGATACTCAGGAAAATACTCGATACCATTTTCGATACCACAAGGATAAAAAAAAGACCCCAAAATTTAAATGAATTTTGACAGGTTAGTGTCTTTCATTTCAAACTGACCTGTTACTAATGTTATCGTGACTGGTGGCCTGCATTAATAACTCTAATCCTAACCCTGACCCTCCACCCTTCATAATTGTGAGAAATAAATGTTTTTTGGTTAAACTTGTTTGGACTTTTTGTACAAACCTATTTAACATACACTATTTTAACATAATAATATGTATAGAGTTTAATTAAGTGTTTGAAAGATTAATTTCACCAATTTTTAAATGAATCTCTATATTGCCATGAGGCAATTAGGATTTTCTTGACTGGAATCTTCCTATTGTTAATGTAACTATAATGGCCGACTTCGATGTGGGCGGAGTCGGATATGTACTTGTTTAATGGTAGCGCGTTATTATTAGCCATTAGCCGAAGCTAGCAGTTCAAGGCTAACAACTTGTTAATGACCATAAACAACGTAAAAAAATACATAAATAAATCAGAGAGAAGGGGGCGGTGGTATCGATACTTTTGAAAATGAGTATCGTATCCGGATACAACATTTTAGTATCGATACTTTTTCGAGTATCGATACTTTTGACAACCTTACAACTGAGGAGGCGCCAAGCATGACACAGCACTTCAGACTAGTGACTCAGCAAAGTGTCCTGCCAGCTTCCAAAGCCACATTTCAGAGGTTAAAAAGACTGCAAAACACTTCCAGGACGCCCTTCCTGTTGCTGAAACGTGTCTTTCTCCATCCTGTGTGCACATCTGCTTCTACTACCGCTTTGACAGACTGACTGTGGAACCTTTGAATAGGTTTCTTACCGATAACGACCACAGGTAAAATCTCCCCGGGCAGGATTTCTTTATCGTGGAGGTCCATTGTGACTGTGAGGAGAGACAGACATGTGTTTGGGTTATGACATCGTTCATCCCATCAAAATCCTCTGCTCAAACTAGTCTGTTATTTCCTGGATATTCAATGTGGAGCCGGCCTCCTGAAAACCTGACAAACAAACTCCCACACCGAGATGGTGGAGACCCTCAAAAATCCCCTCAAAAATTTCCA